TTAAAATTTAACGTGTTGTAAGTGTTCTCTTATGTTATAAAATACTTCATGAAAAGTGAGTTTTTTATGAGTATGTAACGGTCTGTCGTATGAAATACCACACTTCATTTAACCACCATCCCATATTTTTGTACATTTTCCCCTAATTTCTCATTTTTTTCAAAGAATGGCATAGTACACATACTTTATAAACATTTGATCACACATGAGACCATAAAGATAGGTTCTCTAGCAAATAGATTATGACATTTACTTACATTTCTGTGATTATTATGGACATTGGACAGTTTTTATGTTATGGGCTTATTCTGTTAACTACTTTTAATTAAACAAGGAACACATGCACGTGGCAAAAAGAATTCTTAACATTGTAAGACAAACTACAGCGAAAAACGAGTTCTCTCCCTTGAGGTAATCACTGATGTGTTTCTTACATATCCAGAAGGGGCCTAAGTGAATCAAGTGTATAACCCACCCCACTTTAAAAAAAAAAAATACAGGTGTTAGCATACTGTGCACACGGTTCTGGTTCTTTTCACTTAATGTGTAATATCATAGAGATCTTACCTGCACACATAGATGTACCTCCTTTTTAATAGCAGTATAGCATTCCATTGCTTGGCAGTGTGATAATTTCAGCTTTTTACTGTTGCAAACAACTCAGATAAACCATTTGGTAAATATTTTTGCACTTGAGTATCAGAATTATTAGTTTAACACTTAATCACATGCATACACATTTTGATGGATACTGTTAAATTGCACTTTATTCCAACATATGTTCTCATAATCAGTGCAAGGCTATGATGTGATTTCCCACACCTTTGTCAGTATTGTAATTAACCAACCTTTTTAATCTTGGTAATCTTTAGTGAGAAAAATGGAATAACGTTAGGAGTTTGGATTTGCATCCTTTTGGTTATGAATAAGATTCTTTATATACAATTACAAAGCATCACTGTCTCTTCTTTTTGTGACAGCGTGATCCTGACTTTAGGAAAAAAAGTTTTTATTAAAATGGGACATACTTTTTGCATAGCTTTATTTTAATGGAAACACTGCTGGATTTTTGTATTCTCTGCTTTAGAGATGAAAGTAGAAGGGACTTCAGAAGTGGTTCAAGAAAGAAAAGTGCAACCTGTTTCACTTCCAAATTCATAAATTCACGTTTTCCTGATTTTCTTGATTGAATGACTGGAAACTCAAGTGGTTTGTTTTAATTTTGGTGGAGGTAGGGGGCGCCTGGGTGGCTCAGTCGGTTGAGAGTCCGGCTTTGGCTCAGGTCATGATCTCGCGGTCTGTGAGTTTGAGCCCCGTGTCAGGCTCTGTACTGATGGCTCAGAGCCTGGAGCCTGTTTCAGATTCTGTGTCTCCCTGTCTCTCTGACGCTCCCCCGCTCATGCTGTGTCTCTCTCTGTCTCAAAAATAAATAAACGTTAAAAAAAATTTAATTTTGGTGGAGGTAGGGTTCAGTAGGCTACTCAGGGGAGAGGGAAGCCACTGGAAGGTTTTTTTGTGCAGAGTGCTGCAGAGGCATCGCCCTGCTGCCGGTTTCCTGGTGATTTTCAAAGTTCCCTACGGACGGAACCGTTTTAGCCACTGGTGTTAAAAAGAGTTGATTGTAGCATCATTGCAAATAGCATGATTTACTGGAAAGGGCCTTGTCTGGGACTTAGAAAGCCTCTGCTCTGCTAGCTCGCTCCCAGCCTGTCACACCTGGGAGCTCCGGACCCCCTGACAAGTTCTGTGCCCTGGGATGCCAGCTGTGCTTCTCAGCAGGGTCCTCTGTCTTTGCACTTGTTACAGCGTCTGTGCAGAGAAGGAGAACATTGGGGGGAATATGTCCTAATTTTACAGTGGGCAAAACCTGTGACCTTTCTTCTGGGCGGTTTTTATAATACTGCCAGTTTAAATTCCCCTCGCCCGGCCCAGACTGAAGTTTAAAAAGAGAAGTGACACCACGGATAATTCCATTTGGTCCTTTCTGTATATGAATTTAGTTTTTAAATGAATGTTTCAATACATTTCATTCAGGCATTAGGACCAGAGTAAAATTCGTCCCTTTTTCTCTTTTACAGTAGCACTAAGCACCATGCCTTGCATGCAGCAAATACCCAGAAAGTCTTTGTTAAAGAGTCAGGTGGATGTAAACTGTCAGCACTCTCTCTTCCCAGTACATTATTAAGTCTTTCCACTGAGATGTACTAATTTTTTCTAGTTGTACATTCCTGTTTTAACCTCAAATTGTGACTACTTTATAGCCACATTAAATTTGGTGATAAAGGTTGGTTAGTAATTAAAATCCCATCAGATAAACACAAATCTACTTCTAGTATATGTGTAGGAATTATAGGTGTTTGAGGCTTGTGAAATATAAAATACTTATTTTCTGTTTTGAAAAGATTTAAACTGACAAAAGGATAAAACTCAGCAGATCTCTGCTGAAAGTGAAGTTTAATGACTACTACCTGAAAATTATTTGTAAAGGTTGAAATACTCCCTTACTCCCACTAGAGGGGGATTCCTTCCAACTTAGGTAAAAATGCTCTTAGATCCAACAGGAAAACCTTTGTATGACATTGATCTTTCTCTTTTATTAAATGGAAGTTAATTTCATGGCTTTTAAATCAGCTGTTTTTGTGTTGGTATTGAAATATAAAGCCTCTCAGAAACAGAAACAAACTATAAAGGAAAATCTAAAGTACAGCTCAGGAGAGCTGGAGTGCATATGTATTTAAACCACAGTGCTTTTCAGGGGCGCCTGGGTGGCGCAGTCGGTTAGGTGTCCAACTTCAGCCAGGTCATGATCTCACGGTCCGTGAGTTCGAGCCCCGCGTCGGGCTCTGGGCTGATGGCTCAGAGCCTGGAGCCTGTTTCCAATTCTGTGTCTCCCTCTCTCTCTGCCCCTCGCCCGTTCATGCTCTGTCTCTCTCTGTCCCAAAAATAAATAAACGTTGAAAAAAAAATTAAAAAAAAAAAAAACCACAGTGCTTTTGAATAAAACAAAATACACTTTTTGAGTCGGTTTAATTAAATTGGTCAATACTTAGGAATTGCGAACCTCTTCAGCCCTCCTGAAGATAGAATCTGGGGTGGAGGAGGGGGCTGACCTTTTGAGATCCACCTCCTGGCTCCATACTCCAAGGTCTGTCTGTGTCTCTGTCTACCAACAGAGCCACGCGGACTGTTCCTAAATTCCACTTGAAAGCTTTGCTTTGCTGATATCTCAAGTTGTCAGATACATTGAAGCCATAGCTTTAAATAGATTTCTATTTGCTATTGAATTTTCTTGCTACTTTGGCTTTTTATAATATGTTAAGCAAATGCAGAACTCACTTGGGGATTTTTTTTTTGTAGATTTAAACTTCTAATACATTTTGAAAGTAATTGTATGTATATTAAAATATCACATCGAGGGTGAATATACCTAACATTAATGTATGCAGCTATGATCTATGTATATAATTTAAGAGCAAATGTCATATAATAGCTTTTACAGTAGTTAAGATTCAGCAAATGCGTTATTTGTCTTTTGCCTTTAACAAAAGTCTTCACTGTTGATTAGAAGTTTTAATGTAAAAATATTTGAGGTTAGTCATCTCCTGTTGTGAAAGACAGGACTTAGGAAATTCAAACATACGTAAATTGCCAGTAAATTGCCAATAGCCGTTGCTCCCCCCTGCCCCCCATGCCCTTAAAGAAAGTCTATAATAAGATCTTGCTTCTAAATCTAACAATCAGCTTTGGAAATCAGAGCGTAAACAGACATGCTGTCAGTGAGTCTTATAATGATTTTGTACTATAGTTGATCCAACATTTCACATTTGGTATCGGCAACATATGGTTTTCATCGAAACGAGTCTAGTCACCTTCTCACTTCGTCACCGTGTGTTTTTCTTGCTTTGTGCCCCCCCCCCCCCCAGTCTCTGTCAGGTGCCAGGTGGTGGGAGAGCATCACTTTCAGCGAAGCAGTTGGAGAATACAATTTGTTCCTCATTTCTTTTTCGACCCCCCTACTGGATGACAGTCTTCTCGAAGTGGTCTTCCTCTCTCTCTTTCCTTGCCCTCGAGGGACGAATCCAATTTTGTTTGATACAAGAGCCATTGGATAGGCCTGTGTGCCTTCCACTTCAACACCTACCACAAAGGCCTGATTTTAAAGGGTTTAGAACTCACAGCCAACCTGCCAGTCTCGTACCACCGCTCCCCCCCCCCCCGCCCACTGTCTCCCGCAGACACGTAAAAACATTCGTATCGCCTTCCTTCCTTGCTCTTTTCCATCATATATTGGTACTTTGTAGTAGTCAAAGTTAAAAGCTTTACACACCAGACTGAATAATTATGTTTAAAAAACAGTAATTATCAATACACGTATTGTTCCATGCGGCTTTTTAAATTCATGTTAATGAGCTCTGTCTTCTCATGCACAAGACTGACAGGCAATTTTGAAGTTTTGCCATCATTTCACAACTTGTTGCTTAGACCCGGCCTGCCTTTTCCCGAATATTGCTCTCGGCAGCCTTGCTCTGCAGCATTCCACAGACTCAGGACTGCCCACTCCGCTGTGAGCAGAGCAAGAAATCACTAGCAGCCTCACAAGCATGATGAGATTGCACTACGAAGCATAACTTTCCCCTCACTGTCCATAAGAGATCAAAAAGTATATGCAACATCTTGTGATTGAACTGGGAATGGTGATTCTCCTAACTTCCCCAGATCATTTTGAGAAACTCCTACCACCACGTCACCACGATGGCAAACAGATTAATTTAATAGGAGCTCACCCTGTTACAAAACTGGAGCCCAGGGCAGTGACCTGGATTTCGACCCATCCAACTCTTGAAGAGAATCCCAGACCCGTCTTTCTGGACTCCGGGCGTACATTGAACCCCAGTTTTCTCCAAACTCTTGGTTCCAGGCCACGCCCGTGCTCTGGTGTCTGGCTAGACTCAAAGAACGTTTTTCAGAGTGCCTAAATTATGTTTTCCTTATGATTTCAGGTTGAAGTCTTGACCTCGGAGGATACCGCCTTTGGACTCAAGGTGTGTAGTCTGACGTAGCTCACTGTATAGGTCCCGTCAGCTCCCCTAAGCGCATAGGAAGGCTGAACGGATAGGACTTGCTTTTATTATCAAATGCGGAGTTTCTAAACTCTCCCACAGTTTAAGAGTTGCCCTCACTTGTGATTACGATTAGACTGTGGTAGTATTTTCTTTACCTTCTTTCTTTGTGGTCTAGAGTATAAGAAATAGTACAGGAAACCACGCGTTTCCGTTAGTAGCAGTTGACTTTGAAGTTTGAATTCGCCATGGAACAGGATTTACTGAATGGCCCCCAGGTTGGGAGTGCAACCACCACGACCGAAGGTTCTCTGAGTACTGTTTTGGTTTACCACTCTACTTTCGTTAATCCATTTATTCATTTTCCCTGCTTCAAATAGTTACTGAACCCCTGTGTTCCAGTCGCAATTAAATCCCCGTTCCTGCCCTTAAGTGGCTCACAGTCAGTTGGTAGGCTTAGGCCTATTAACAGATCAGTTGTCCTGTGGTGTCCTTGTCTCCCTGCTAGAAGTGTTGGGGGGTGGGGGTTGTTGCGGGAGTGGGCGAGGCCGAGTGGGAAGGCATTCTAGGAGTCTGAGCCCTTGAGAGTGGATTATATTTATAGGCAAAGGAGGAGGACAAGAGAAATGAGAACTATTTTCAGGTCAGGACAACCATGAAAAAAACCAGAGGGAACTGAAAGTAGTTAAATTCTGCCTGGGTAGCAAGATCGGAGGTTGAAGAGGTTAAAGATTTGAATTTTATCCTATAGAAAATGCAAAGCTATTAAAAGATTTCAAGCCAAGGAGTGGTTAGATTTGCAATTTAGATGAATTTGGCCACTTTGTGGAGGATGGACTTGCCAGAGACCAGTGAAGGGCAGTTGAGTGGACCAGGTGAAAGACCGTGTGGACTGAGCTAGCCTAGTGAAAGAGTAAAACTAATCCTTCAGTCTCGGGGACTGGTGATCCTTGGGATATGCAGGGTGAGGAAGGCAGAGGAGCTGAGAATAAGGTAAAGAAAGAGGTGATGTGTAACAGTGAGAGGGCAGACACAGGAGGGGCGGAAGAATTACAGTCTTCCAGGCCTGTAGTGTTTTCTCAGGTTGACTTGCCTTTTGGACGTATATTTGCTAGGAATTCCTTTTTTTTTTTTTTTAATTTGTTTTTTAACGTTCATTTATTTTTTTGAGACAGAGACAGAGCATGAGTGGGGGAGGGTCAGAGAGAGAGGGAGACACAGAATCCGAAACAGGCTCTAGGCTCTGAGCTGTCAGCACAGAGCCCGACGCGGGGCTCGAACTCACAGACTGCGAGATCACAACCTGAGCCGGAGGCGGACGCTCAACCGACTGAGCCACCCAGGAGCCCCTCTTTTTTTTTTTTTTTTTTTTTAATTTGTTAGTAATTCTTAAACCATATAAATAAATCAGCAAGAGGCATTATTAGGGGAGTCTGACTTCATTTTCACATAGAGATACAGAAGTACACCATCAATTACTTTGGAAGTTGGAAGTTTAGGAGAATAGTTGGTGGAAGCTTTAGAGCAAAGAGAACGGGTAACTACTCTTACCTGACTCCTGTATGTGCAAATCTTTGGCTTAAAACTAAAAATTAGTTACTTGTATTTTTTCCAAATTTTTCTCTACTTAACATTCTGGATGCTTGGCATTTTATTAGTACAGTTTAATAGTCGGGCTGCAGTTGTTGGCGGATGACATTGTAACACTGCCAAAATCACGGCCGTTCTGAGGTTATAAGCTGAGTGAGGTTTATGTCATAAATGAATACAAATTAAAAGTGAAAAGATAAGTTAAGACTTTATAAATATTTAAATATTCGGTAAACTGACTCAAGTTTACCTCACCGTGTTTTTTCTAGCTCTGTATCTGCCAAAAATTACTAAAGAAAAATTTAATTATCAAGAGAGCCAATTCAGTGCTATTTGCAGTATGTAACATATCGTCATCGTTTGAATTTTTCATTTTTTCTTTAATGCCCAGCATGCACGGCAGAATATTCATTGCATGTTTTTTTTTTTTGTTTGTTTGTTTATTTATTTTTGGGACAGAGAGAGACAGCATGAACGGGGGAGGGGCAGAGAGAGAGGGAGACACAGAATCGGAAACAGGCTCCAGGCTCCGAGCCATCAGCCCAGAGCCCGACGCGGGGCTCGAACTCACAGACCGCGAGATCGTGACCTGGCTGAAGTCGGACGCTTAACCGACTGCGCCACCCAGGCGCCCCTTCATTGCATGTTTAATAAACCTGTAGGGTCAGTTCTTGTGAACTCATCTCCATAACCCTTCATCCTCACTGTGTAGGCGGCGGTACTGTGGGACGACGGTTTTACACCAGCAGCTCACCCGGTCTGCCCCGCTGTGTAAGGCTTTGCGTTTGTTTTCCGGCGAAACTAGCAGCTTGCTTTTGTAGTCTTAATTCAATTTGTAGAAACCATAGTTGGAAATTATTCCCCGGTAATTCAGTGATTTTTCAAAGAATTTGAAGCTTTTCACTTTTGCATGTCTGTACCAAAAAGTGTTTATCCATCTAACTAAAATATGAGAAATTTGATTTTTTTTTTTTTAACCACTTCATTATCTGCCAGTCAGCAAATACATTTTTATCTTGTTTCTTAAAATGTCTCGGTGTTCAGTATTGGTCAAGTTTCTGAACACTTATTCACAGTTGGCCTTTTTTTCCTGTTTTTTTGCACTGGGAAAAATAACTCCGATATCTGACTCCCTGCTAGTACATTGTTGGCATCATCTTGGCAAATGAGTAGGAGGCCAGAATGTGTGTCTACCCCCATGTAGGTCTCTGATCCTTTTGGTGCTGCTCTTTAATAAGAACCTTTGCTCTTTCTTTACCTCTTTTTTTTTTTTTTAAGTTTATTTATTTTTGAGAGAGAGAGAGAGAACCAGCGTAGCAGGGGCAGAGAGAGAGAGGGACAGAGGATACGAAGCAGGCTCCACCCTGACACCCTGACAACAGAGAGAGCCTCGTGCAGGGCTTGAACCCACGAACTGCGAGATCATGACCTGAGCTGGAGTTGGGCGCTTAACCGAGCCACCCAGGCACCCTGTTTTTTGTTTTTGTCTCGCCACTATCTATTTGATCACTCCTTGGATGCTTCTCCTTCTTCTAAGTCCAGCTGAAACCTGCAAGCTTCATATTTACTTAACGATTGAAGCCTACATTTGTCAGTCTCACTGGAAAATAACTTAAACACGCTGGGACCCAGCAGTACAAGCAGCCTGTTTTTGGGTGTGATTGTTCCTGCAGCCCAGGAAAACCAACTTTGCATTCATTTCAAACTATCATGACTGTTGGTGCTGTTTTGAGATTAATTTTTTCCAAGCTAATCTAAGGAGAGAGAGCTGTGCTCTTCCTTACACTTCTCAAATCTTAATTTCTCAAATCCTGATTCGTCGTTTTATTAGGCTTATCTCAGTCAAAAGTAACTTAGAATTTGAAATGCTAATAACTATATCTCAGTATACACTTCAGCTGTTTTCCAGTGGTTCTAATTTTTTCCTCTGAATTAAGGCAACTTTGATTTTCTGGAGTTTGTTGCTATGTTTAATTAATTTAAAATCCTGTGCACTTATAAAAACAATTGCAGTGAATAGAAGAGGTGCCTCAAAATAAAAAAATGAGAAAATATATTAGGAAAGGAAAGTTCTACAAACTGTAGACCACTGATCTTGACTTTGGTTCTGATCAAGACTTGAACATATTAAGAAATGTGTAATTCTGTAGAATAATAAATCAGGAGTTGCAGGCACAAGCCAACACGGGTTAGTTCTTTTTTACAAGATAAGCGTGCCTTCTGTGTCGTCAATGGACTAAGTAAAGCTGTTAGTAATAATGAGATGATAAATCAGCTAAGGAAATATATATAAAATTATACTATTAAACATAGAAAAGGCTAAAAATTTGCTGCTGATGAGTTCTACAGAGAAATTTATGGTAGAGAAGTAAAAAAGGGGAGTGAGTAAAATATTCCTGGGTCATTAAAAAGATTAAAAAGAAAGACTAGATAATCATAACTTTTCCATGAATTTCTTAAGAGATCTTCTCAAAATCTAAATAAATGACTTTAAAATTTCACAGTCATGAATATCTCTCGCCTTCTCGTTTGTTGTGGACAGCTAAGTCAAGAATCCTAAAGAAGCAAGATTGTTATTTAATCCACTCCCTGTGGGTTAGGGACTGTTGTTAGTCTCAGTATTGGGGGAGGAAATAGAAATTGACACGGATAATGAATACCAGAAGTGGGATTGGAAGCTGGGAGATCAGCCCCAAGGCCGGTCCTCTTCCTTGAATGTCCTAAGAACCAGTGAGGTCTCTGCTCCCCTACCTGCCTCCTCGCTGCCCCTCTCCTCTCATCTGTCCCCACCTCTGTCCCCACACTGCCCCTCTTGCTAAGGTCCCCATCGGTCCTCTCGCTTTATTTGCCTCTTTGTGGCAGCTGCCTCAGTTGGCCTCTTCTTCCTTCCTTGGCCCTCTTCCTGTGGTTTCCCCAGCGGCGCTCTGCTGACCCTCCTCCTGTGAGCGGGGCTGCGGTTTCCGTTCTTTCTCCTCCTCCACAGCCGCACGCGTCACACTCCGCCAGACTTCTGTTCTTGGTTCTCCTCCTTGGAATCTGTAGTGACCACCTCTCCATCCTGCTCCAGGGCTGCTGCCTAAACATCCCGTGGAGTGAATGGATATGCAGAAAGCCAGGACAAAGATTTAAAAATACCTCCCTTGTTCGGTACAACTTTTCCTGGGGTCAGTTCTCAGGGCTTACTTGTTTGGCTGTAATAGCATTTGGTTACCAAAATCACGCTTAGCTTTGTTTAACTTTTACTTCCGAAAGGTGGGTGGACAGAAGTGCGTAGTATACATTATCAGTTCATGTGGTTTACAGTTCTAAAGAGGCATTAGAGTGCCACAAATCCAAAGATCCATGGATACACCCCGTTGGCTGGCATGTTCTTTGGAAAAAAAACAAAGCCT